TTGAACCTTGGTTTTCCATGCATTATATTATAAAACAGTCACAGGAGAGTAGAGGGAGGAATAACCAGCAATACCACCATAGAAAGCTTGTAAGTCCGTCTTCTGCCTGGAACTGACTGGAATACCTAAAAAGGGGTTACAATATGTCCAGTATAGGGATGGGCAACTTGAACATTGGCTACCCAAAATGGGGGGAGAGATACAAAGGTAAGAAGTGACTGGCTTGCAAGCTTTCAGGAGGGAATCTGGATGACAGTGGGGGGAGGAGGGTAGAGTCTCAAGTGAGTAATATCCAACCTGTCTAGGAAGGGCTGATGAAAAGAAATGCGGATGAGTCTCTTGTGATGCAAGGGCGAATAATTGTTATCAGGATGGATTGTGAGGACTGGAAAGGTAAAGGTGGATATTTTATAGCAAGGAGGGGTGTGATTAACCTTTCAGTCTAGGAGCGAAGGCCCCTGGGACCATCACTGGAAAAGAGCGGAGATCGAGAGAAGCAGTGAAGCCTGAGATGGAGACAGAGAGGATGACATGAAGTGGCTGAGGACTTGAGATCCAAGGAGGGAAGGGAGTTGTGTGCTGAGAACCGTGGGGGGAGAGGGGGGCCTGCGGGGTATATAACCTTTGGTTGGGTGATGATGCATGGACGGATGGTAACTATGGCAATGAAACGATGTATGATAGAATGAGGGTAAAGCTAATGTTCCCCCATGTAAACTATCACACAATAAAAATAAAAAAAAAATTTAAAAATTGTTCTTGCTTCAAGGTTTGTACTTGCAGTTTCCTTGTCATTGTTGTTGTTGTCAAGCGCCATAACGACCCTGTATAGGGTTACCAAGGAGCACCTGGTGAGCTTGAACCGCTGACCTTGCAGTTTAAAAGGCTTTGCATTCTGGCGCATTAATCCACAGCGCCACACCAGGACTCCTTCCTTGTCAAGGAATGCCTTAAATTGGAATGTTGTTGTTGTTAACTACTGTGGAGTCGTTGCAACTCATAGTGATCCTGCACAGGGTTTCCGAGGCTGCAAATCTTTGTTGTTGTGAAGTGCCATCGAGTCGATTCCGACCCATAGTGACCCTGTATAGGGTTTCCGAGGAGTGGCTGGTGAGCTTGAACCGCCGACTCTGCAGTTCAAACTGGCTTTGCAGTCTGGCGCATTAACCCACAGCGCCACGAAGGACTCCTTTACGGGAGCCGAAAGTCTCATCTTTCTCCAGCCGAAGAGCTGTTAGTTTCAAACTGCTAACCTTGAGGTTAGCAGCCCAATTCGTAACCACTACGCTGCCAGAACTCCTTAAATTTGAATGTTAAGTTTAAGCAAATTTTAGCAAGGCTAGCTCCTAGACTTTTGGGCCTTCCAATCACCATTCTGGAGTCTTGGTGTGGTGCTGTGGGTTAATGCCCTGGACTGTTCAAGTTCACCAGCTGCTCCTTGGAAACTCTACAAAGGGTCAGTATAGGTCAGAACCAACTCTGCGTCAATTAACAACAATCACCACTCTGCAGCCATTATAATAATAATTTATTTAGGCAGAAATCATCAGTGAATGCTCACACCAGTGGGTGAAACACTGATGAACAGGCTATTTAAATTGTTTCAAAGTATCCTCCAAGATACTTAGTAACTATAAAGGGAAAAATTGTAACTTCACAGTTGAGGAACTTGGCAACCCAATAATCAAATTGAAAATCAACAGAGTGCCTGGGTGGTTGATACAAATGGTTAATGTGCTTGGTTGCTGACTGACAGGTTTTAATAGACCCAGGCTTCAGAAGTTTAAGATTTGGGGATCTATTGAAAAAAAAAATAAAATAAAAAACCAACCAATAAAAATCCTAAGGAGCACAACATTTGCCATGAGTTCGATTTATTTCCAGGGCTACTTTCTTTTTCTTTTAATATTGGGACAAATCAATGCCATTGCCTCCTGATGTAATGGATGGATAACGCAACTTTCTTTCAGTTGTTGTTGTTGTTAAGTGCTGTTGAGTCGGTTGCGACTCATAGCGACCCTGTATAGGGTTTCCAAGGAGCAGCTGGTGAGCTTGAACCGCTGACCTTGCAGTTCAAATGGCTTTGCAGTCCGGTGCATTAACCCACAGCACCACACCAGGACTCCTTTCAGTAGTGTTCTGTAAAAAATTATACAACCTGAATGTAAACATGAGAACATACTGTTGTTAAGTGCTGTCGAGTTGATTCATGTGGATCCTGACTCAGAGTTACCCTGTTTAGGGTTTCAGAGCAACTGCCAGCCTTGTCCGTCAAACCAACCTTGAGGTTCAGGGCCTATCCTACATAGCGCCACACCAGAACATATTGGATAAATCCAAACTTGGGGACAAAATAACTGGCCACGAGGCTTCCCAAAAGTCAGTCATTAAAGACAAAGAAAGGTGGAGAAACGGTCTTTCCAACTGAAAGGAAACTAGGAAGACATTACAACTTGCTACAACATGTAGTACTGAACTGGATCCTAGAGACTAACTATTTAGTGCATGAAGTCTGTTCTGACTCATAGAGACCCTGGATTGGGTTTCCAAGGAGGAGATGGTGGATTTGAGCTGTCAACTTTGTGGTTAACAATCAGTGCTTAACCAGAACTCAGAAAATTGCTGTTACTGTTCAGTGCCATCGAGTACGTCCTGACTCTTAAGGAACAACAGGTGGGTTTGAACTGCTGATTTTGCAATTAGCAGACCAGTGATTACCCTATAGCCCCACATCAATTAAATATGAACTTGCATAAAATTAAAAAAAAATGTGTCATTGCTGAAATTCCTGATTTAAATCATCGACTAAGATAAAGTAAGAAAATATCCTTGTTTTTAGGAAGCTCACAGAAAAAATATATAAAAAGGCATGTTTGAAATTTACTCTAAAATGGTTTAATAAAAAATTCCTATTGGTGCTGCGGGCTAATGTGCTGGACTACAACATTGGTTTGAACCACAAGGTTGAAGGAACTGACTCAATGCACTTAACAACATACATACATACTGCATATGTGTGTGTGTATATCTGTATATACACATGAGAATATGACAATGTAAATATAGGAAAATGCAACTGTTACATTTACAGAAGACCATAGAAGAAGTGATGCTTTTGAGTTATGGTGTTGGAGGAGAATATTGAAAGTGCCATGGACTGACAAAAGAACCAATAGATCTGTTTTGGAAGAAGTGCAGCCAGAGTGCTCCTTGGAGGCCAAGATGGCCAAACTTCATCTCTCATAATTCAGACATATTGTCAGGAGGGACCAGTTGCTGGAGAAGGATATCATGTTTTGTAAGGTGGAGGGTCAGAGAAGAAGAGGCAACAGTGGTGAGGTTGGCCCAGGATAGAGCAGTGTTTCGTTCTGCTGTGCATAAGGTCACTATGGGTTAGTACCGACTTGATGGCAGCTAACAACAACAACAACAATTTGTTAATATGGTTGAAAGGCATTATTGGTTGTTTACTATTGTAATTTACAGGTTAATTTGAAATTTTATCCAAAAGTAAGTTACAGAGACTTTCAGATGTGATTATCCCAAGCCCTCAGGCATTTGTTTTCTCTAGAATACTATCACTGTGGAAAATTACCCTGAGTATTAAGGGCTCCTGGAGTCCTGGTGTGGTGCTGTGGTGCTGTGGGTTAATGCATTGGATGCAAAGTCAGGTTTGAACTACAAGGTTGGTGGTTCAAGCTCACCAGTCACTCTTTGAAAACTCTATATGGGCCACTAAGGAGCCCTGGTAGCATAGTGGTTACGAATCGGGCTGCGAACCACATGGTCAGCAGCAGGAGAAAGAGGAGGCTTTCTGCTCTGGGAAAGATTTACAGCCTCGGAAACCCTGTACAGGGTCACTATGAGTCGGAACTGACTGCATGGCACATATCAACAACATTTAACAATTAAGAGTTCCTGGTGTGCCACTGTAGGATAAACACTGAACTGCTAATCACAGATTGGCAGTTCAAAATCACCAGCAGCTCTTCAAAACCGACCTGATGGCACTTAATATCAATAATAACAGCTAACATTTACTGTGTGCCAAAGCCTGTTTTTCCCGTTTTATCAATGAGAAACAGAGACATTTTCTGTCTCCAGTGGCACAGGACTAAGGTAGAGACTGTCTCATTGTGCCCACTGATCTTTCTCCCATAGCATAAAATGGTGTCAAGCATATTACAATCAGTCAATATATATTTTCAGAGTCAAACATTAAATGGGTATCTATGACGCAGAATAGTACAAAATAGTTAAAAACATATTTAAACACCAATACGTAAATGAAGATTACATTAAACACTAACTCAGCGGGCTCTCAGTCTAGTTTATACAGGAGGAGAGTTCAAAAAGTTCCCGGAAAAAGTCATTAACTTGCAGTTTCATTTTTTCCATGAACTTTAAAAATATACATACATACATACCAAGCGGCTTCAAAAGTTCGTGGAAAAATGGAATTAAAAAATAATGAAAAATTTCCAAACTTGAAAAAATATATATTCTCTTCATTGTGGATCTACTCTGTCCTATAAAGTCGCTGTGCGGATTAGACTCGACGGCAATGTGTATATAAATATAAGATATATTTCATTTAGTCCTAACAACCCTGGGATAGAAGACCGATTCTACCCATTTTACTGAGGAAGAAACTAAGGCTCAAAGAGGGCCAATGGGCTTGTAGGAAGCCTGGCGGAGATTCGAATCTATTTCGAGCGGTTTCCAGGGCAGAGCTACGTATCAATCAAGCCCAACAATCCAATCATCGTTAGTATTTATTAGGCGCCTTCTGCGTGCGTTCCTCTTCACGCAGCGCAGGCGACAGGATAGACTTCGGTGCGAAGGCTGCTGCCAACGCCCGGATCGCGGAGATTTGGCGCCTATTTTTTGCGGGTCGGGTGCTCTTCAGTGTTCTCGCCGGTGATTGGGCCCCGGCTGCGGCTGCTCCGTTGACCCCGGCAGGACTCGAGCTGCGCGGCGCTCGGCCGGCCTCCTGGGGGATGGGCCACCAGGAGTACTCGCTAGCCCGAGCGCCGGCTGGAGGTGCGACTTATATAAAGGGGTTATGTAAAAGGTACAGCTGGCGCGAACACGTGGAGAGCCGTAGGAGTCTGGACGCCGCCGGGGCAGCAAGATCCCTCGCAAGCCTGGCCCTGGCCACCGCTTCCGACGCTGCTCAGTCCCGGAGGCGGCTCAGGTCGGGAGCAGCCCAACCCCAGACGAACACTCCAGGGGGAAAACGGGCCGCCCGGAAGTGGAGGGGCGCCCGCCAGGTAAGCACGGAGTCCACGGAATAAAGGCAAGCCTTGAAGCTAAAGCTACCTTCGCGGTCTAGGGCTTCTGAGCAGGGGCAATGGACCACCGGCTTGGAGCGCTCAGGGAAGCCTAACTTTTAAGTTAGCCTCCCCCCTCCCCCCTCGGTCCTCCGGGACTTGGGTGGATCTGCTGGGCTTCCCTTTAGCTTAATTCAATGGACTGTTTACACCCTGGAGCCACTGTGTGGGACGCGGGAGGGGGATCACAATGGTGGCCGGGCAGGGAAAAAGATTTCAACAGTCTAACGCAATGCCTCTTAGGGTGACTTTCATGAATTGTGAAGGTAGAAAGTTCATGCTTTCTCTTATTTCTATTTGATAAATTGACTTAGAAAGCGGGGAATTATTGCTTTTCTTTCCGGTTCCACCTTTAAGATTTTGCCCTGTGGTTCAGTCTTACCCGTTTACTCCTCCCCTCCCCCGTTCAATTGGCGGCGGTGGTTTCAGTCTTAAAGGGACCGGAGGTAGGACGCTTTGCGGCCTGCGCTCTTCGATTCCCCGCCTCGGCCTGGTCGTTTAACCGATTCTTTGGCCCGCAGGTCGCAATCCAAGGTCTCGCTCCTCCGCGTCCCGGGTCCGGACGGAGGGATGAGGCAGGGGGGGCAAGAGCAGCGCCGTTGCTGCTCCCCCCGCCGCCCGCAGCCATGGAAACGGGGGAGGAGGACGGCGCCCGCAGAGGTACACAAAGCCCCGAGAGGAAAAGGCGAAGCCCAGTGCCGCGGGCACCCAGCGCTAAGCTGAGGCCGGCGGCGGCCCAGGCCATGGATCCCGCGGCGGTCGAGGCCCCTGGCGAGGCCTACCTGGCGCGGCGAAGGCCGGAGGGTGGCGGCGGGTCGGCGAGACCGCGCTACAGCCTGTTGGCGGAGATCGGGCGCGGCAGCTACGGCGTGGTTTACGAGGCGGTGGCTGGGCGCAGCGGGGCCCGAGTGGCGGTCAAGAAGATCCGCTGCGACGCCCCTGAGAACGTGGAGCTAGCGCTGGCCGAATTCTGGGCCCTGACCAGCCTCAAGCGGCGCCACCAGAACGTCGTGCAGTTTGAGGAGTGTGTGCTGCAGCGCAACGGGCTAGCCCAGCGCATGAGCCACGGGAACAAGAACTCGCAGCTTTACCTGCGTTTGGTGGAGACCTCGCTTAAAGGTAAGATCGATGCGAACCTTTACACCCACACGGGTCCTGGACCCTCCGATCTCTAGACGGCTTGGCCCAAACTGCCTCCGGGACCCCAAACCTATAGTTCTGGTCCTGTCATCCTTGGGCTAGACACACCCTCAGTACCTCCTTTTCTAGGCCCAGTATTCGGAGCCCTCTTCCTTTCTCTGGACTTAACCATCAGTTCTTGATTCAAATATTAACTGGTATTTAAATAATAGAAACTCGTGCGAACCATTACATTATTAAGTGCTCAGTTAGTGTGAGCCATTGTTAAATGAGTAACACTTTTAAGATTGGATGGGGGATGGAGAGGCTTGAGTTCCAAGTTGGAAGAATTGCAGAGTTCTCTTACTCTCTAGGGACCTTTTTTTTTTTTTTTCCTTCCAAAACAAAATCCAACCTTTAGTGGGCCTACCTACAGTCCCTCTGTCTGGTTCCAAATATCCAGACACCCTCCAGCCGCACTCCCCAAACTCTTGCTTTCCTAGTTGCCTTTTCCTTTGAGATCCTCAGCCATTCATCCTATAGCAATGCAACTAACTGGAGTTTCAGACTAAATCCTTTGAGGACTAGAGCTGTCACATAACAAAACCTCACATCTTTGCCCTCCTTCTTACATCCTGGCTAGGAAGTGATTTTACTTTTAGGGGAAATGGGGCTCTACCAAGCAAAGGGGCTTGTGGTCCTTGGAGAGAGTTTTAACTGCAACTAGGGAGTGCTCAGTATTCACTTGCCCTGTTCAGAGAGGAGCAGAGGCAGTGAGCTATAGTCTGAGCTTTTCTGAGTCTCAGTTACAGTCAGAACTGTGTCCTAGCTGTCTTACAGAAGTGATTTTTAAGCAATAACTTTCCTGAAATGGAGAAACTGAGGTATAGAGCCCTAACTTGATGAAGGCTAGTATGCTGGTTAAGGTAAATCAGAATTCTGGATTCCTTACAACTTCTTACAGGTTAAGTGATGAGAACCCATGTCTATCTTGATGTAAATAAGGGTAAAGTTGCCTTTCCTATGCAGAGGATGAACTTGAGAAGAGAGAGCATTTTGGGTGAGATTAGATAGTTAGGGTTGTTGTTAAGTGCAGAGACGATTCCACGTGTTGTTGCCATCGAGTCGACGCTGACTCATAGCGAACCTATGCACAACAGAACTAAACACTGCCTGATTCTGGGCCACCCTCACTACTGTTGCCATGCCAAACCCATTAATGCTGCCACTTTGCCAATCCATCTCACTGGGAGTCTTCCTCTTTTTCTCTGACCCTCCACCTTTCCAAACATATCCTTAGCGACTGGCCCCTTCTGACAATATGGCCGAAGTATGAGAGACAAAGGTCATCCTGGCCTCAGGAGCATTCTGGCTGCACTTCTTCGAACACAGATCAGTTGGTTCTTTTGGCAGCCCATGGCACTTTTCAATATTCTCCTCCAACACCATAACTCAAATGCATCAATTCTTGGGTCTTCCTTATTCATTGTCCAGCTTTCGCATGCATATGAGGCTATTGAAAATACCCATAGCAACCCTGTATAGGGTTCCCAAGGAGCAGCTGGAGAGCTTGAACCACCAACCTTTGCAGTCTGACCCATTAATAGTTTCCTAAAATATTGTTTAGGGTTTTTGTTCAACTTTAAAAAAAAAAAAAAAAAAAAATCATCAACCCATTCCCTGAGAACCCATGTCAATTTCAATTCAGTTGCTGATAGTGAACTTGATTTGTGTCAATCTGGGTGTTTTTTTTATCCCCCTTCCCTAAATAGATTTCTACCTCTTGCCCGTCCCTGTCATTCTGAAAAAACCCACCCTCTCCCCAGGGTATATGTATTTGTTTTGAAAAGATTCTCCTGAGATTCTTTTATTCTGCCTGTACTCTGGGAACTCTTGGCTTAATCTTTCCATTCTCAGACTATCTTCTCCCGCTATAGTTAATGAATGGCCTGGATTTCCAAATTAAGGACTGCCTTAAAGTATGGGAATTTGCTTCACCTAACACTCCTCTTCTATCTTCACTACTTTGTTGCCATTCTTGAAACTTCAGTATGGGTTTTGAAGCCCTCACTCCCCCCTACAGATAAATACTATTCAAATTTTATTCACAAGTAGTATTTTTGTGGCACTGTAGGATAAGCACTGGACCACATTGTTGGTTTGAACTAGCAAGGCTGGTGGTTCAGACTCACCAGCCACTCCTTGGAAACCCTTTACAAGGATGTAATGAGTCTGATGGAACTGATTCTAATTAGGGGGAAGTAAGGTTTTCCTATCCATACCTGAGGTGACTGACCTGTCCATTCACTAGGGTTCCATACTCTTTATTTCCATGGTCACCCTTCTCCCCCAAGGAATCCTGGTGTGGCTCTGTAGGATCATACCCACCAGCTGTTCATGGAAGCCATAAGTCAACCAACTAGAGGGCACTTAACAATAACAACAACCCCCCACTCAAGGGTGTTATTAACAAGCTCTTTATTCCCCTTGTTGTAGGCCACAACCACCCAGTCATTCAGTAGGAATTTGAAGACCCTAGCTAGAAAGGCCATATAGAAGTGATCCATTGTACTGCAAGCTACCCCTTGGCTTTTCTACCCATGGTTCTTTCATACTGGGAAGATAACTTCTCCTTCCCAATCATTTTACAAGTCCAAAACAATTAGTCCTTTAGTGGGGCACTGAGTTCTCTGCGTGAGACTACTCAGGTACCAGCCATTCAGTTCTGCTGGTGTCCATCTTAGCTCATCAAGTTTTCCAAAAGTCATCTCCACCCTGTCTGGTGTATGATAAAATTTAGCTCAGACATTATTAGTCCATTGTTCAGAGCCATAGAAGGTTTCAGCATAGCAAAACCTTTAAGGGACTTTAGTTTCAGCCACTGTACTCCAGTCCAGCAGAGCTTTCCACTTAGACCACTCTTACACACTTGAGGTGTTTACACCAACAGCTTTTGCAATCACCGTTAACCTTGTTTACAGCCAACATTAAAAATTAAATCATACTCCTATCAACGTCTTCCCCCACTCTCTCTTCCTGAGACCTGTAAGCCAGCCACTTCATGCCTTTATCTCCGTCATTTAACATTGTTAGGTGCCTTCAATTCTTCCGATGCATAGCCACTCCGTATAGGGTTTCTGAGGCGTGACTGGTGAGTTTCAACTGTCGACCTTGTGTTTCAAAGGGACTTTGCTGTCCATGGTGTTATCTTGCAGTACCATACTGTTGTTGTTGTTAAGTGCCGTCGAGTCGGTTTCGACCCATAGCGACCCTGAATAGGGTTTCCGAGGCTGTAAATCTTTACGGGAGCAGATCGCCTCGTCTTTCTCCCGCGGAGCAGCTGGTAGTTTCGAACTGCTGACCTTCCGGTTCACAGCCCGATTCGTAACCACTAAATACTAGGACTCCTCATTTTACATTGTTGTTGTTAAGTGCCATTGAGTCGATTCCAACCCATAGTGACCCTGTGAAGGGTTTCCGAGGAGCAGCTGGTGAGCTTGAACTGCAGTTCAAAGGGTTTTGCAGTCTGTTGCATTAGCTCACAGCACCACACCAGGCCTCATTTTACATAGCCAATTCTAAATGGTCCATCCCCACTGTAGAATGAACATTAGGCTGCTAACCACAATGGCAATTCCAATCCAGCAACTCTGTGCAGGGTCACTGTGAGTTAGAATCAACTCAGTGGCAATGGGTATCTGACTTTGAGGAGTCCTGATATTTGCTTTGTAGAATGAGCACTAGACTTCATAGTGTAGGTTCAAACTCACCAGCCGATCCTCAGAAACTGTACAGGCTCGTTATGAGTGCAGCCAACTTGCTGACATGATGCTGTGTGGGAGCATGGTGCTTCTATAGGCTAAACACTGAATTGTGAACCACAGGGTCAGCAGTTCAATCCCACCAGCTCCTCCGGGGAGAAAGAACTATGAGTCTTTCTGCTTCCGCAAAGATAATGCAGCCTCAGAAACCCTATATAAGGGTTACTACGAGTCAGCATCGACTCCATAGCACTTAACAGCAGATGGTGCTGTGGGTTAGCCTTTGGGATGCTAACTGCAAGATCAGCAGTTCAAACCCATCAGCCGCTCCTTCGGAGAAGAATGAAAGTGTTTGCTCCTGTAAAGATTTACTGTTTTGGAAACCCTGTAGCAAGTTCTAGTGAGTTGGAATCGATTAGTGATTTCTTTTTTTTTTTTTTCCTTAATGCTTTATTGTGAATTATGTGATGGTTTACATGGGAGGACATCAGTTTTACATTGATTCTATCATGTATCGTTTCCTGCCATGGTTACAATCCCTTCCATGAATCATCCATCAACTAAAGGGTATATATGTTGTTGTTGTTGTTGTTCAGTGCCATCGAGTCGGGTCCGACCCATAGCGACCCTGTACAGGGTTTCCAAGGTTGTAAATCTTTACGGGAGTAGAAAGCCTCATCTTTCTCCCGTGGAGCGGCTGGTAGTTTCGAACCGCTGACCTTAAGGTTCGCAGCCCGATTCGTAACCACTACGCTACCAGAGCTCCCCAAAGGGTATATATAAAGGGTATATATATCTCACAAACCTGCCCCCTGGTCGTCTGCATACAACCCCTCTCCCTCTCCAGGTCCAAAGTCCCCAGCCGCTCGGTCATCGTCTCTGCCTCCATCCCTGGCATCACTACTTCTCTGGGTAGGGTTCAGTTCTCCGCTCTTCTCCCTTGATGGTCCCAGGGACCTCCGCTCCTAGACTGCAAGGTTAATCACTCCCCTCCCTTTGCCCCAAAATGTCTATCTTTACATTTCCAATTATTTGCTATTGCATCACAAGAGACCTATTCACATCTCCTTTCATCCGCCTGGACTAGGCAGAATGGATACTACTCAGTGGAGATTTTACCTTGTCCTTGCCCTCTGGATCTAGGTTCCCTCTTGAAAGCTTGTAAGCCAGTCACTTTTTGCCTCTGTAGTCCGTCCCCCCTCCCACCATTCTGGGTAGCCACTGTCCCAAGTTGCCCAT